AGGACACCGAGACCTACGTGGAACGCCGTCGCAAGCTTCAGAAAGGAAAGGCGCAAGCGCACGAGGACCCGGCATCCGAGACAGGGCCGAAGCCAAAGTCAAAGGCGAAGGCCAAGGCGGCAGCCGATGCATGAAACCTGGCTGCGTGTCAACAGGGGGCAGTCCCTCAGCAGGCCGTTTGAAGGTGCCTGGGGCTGCGGCGCCTGAAATCCGTGTGGCTGGGCTGTTGAATTCATTGCCTCGACTGGTGTTGCGATCGAAGTGCACTTTTGGGGCCTTTTTCGCTGATGCGATCCGCCAGCCCCGACACCCATCAGGGGCGACGTCACTCTTTTGGCCGATGCCGCTGCCCTACCCTGAAGTCTTCAGACCTGGAGCTGGCATCCGACAGGCTTGGAGGAAAAAGCTGATCAATGTCGCCATTGCGGCGCTGGATTGGTTGTTCCTGCAAAGGCCCAGCCGGGTGCCGGCCAGTATGGGAGCCGGGACGCCGCTGAGCAAACGCCAGTGGCAAATGGTGCAGCTTTTGGAGGAGCTGGTGGGTGACGACTATGAAAATTTTTCGCTAGTTCCGTCTGCTTTGGGACGGACAGCCTCGAAGCTGGAGGATCAGGACGCCACGCTGGGAGCTCTTCACCGAACTTTGTTGGCCACTGAGAGGGATCTTCCCCGTTACATGCGAGGGCTTGGAGCTGCGCATGGTGACACCTTCTCAACAAACCTGCTTGATCCGGAGGACGATGAGCCCCTGGACCATGGCAACGCCAATAGTACAGATGGTAGGCGCTCCTACGGCTGGATCACTGGCAAGCTCCGAGGCAAAAAGTTGATTGCAGCTAAAGAGATAGAGGCCGACCGAATCACTATGCCCCCTCCTCCTTCCTTCGACCCCTTGCCGTACATGGACAAGCATACAGCACATGTCTTTGAGCATCCCCTGGAGCACAGAATGGCTGAACCCCGAGAACCTGCGCCCGCAAGGTCGTGCGTCATGGCATCCCGGCGCAACAAGCTGGAGTTGTACCGCACTTTGGCGAGGACAGGGAGACTTGGGATTCTGGAACCTCATGAGTGCTCATCGGGCATATCTTCCGGACTGTTCTCTGTGATAAAGGACCTGGAGCGAGACAGATTAATTCTGGACGGCCGAGGTGCGAACGTGTATGAGACACCATTGCACACATGGACAAAGGGCTTGGCTTGCGCTGACAAGGTCTGCCAGATTTATCTTCCTCCCGGTTGCGAGCTTCGAGCTTCAGGCCGGGATCTTCGCGACTTCTTTTACCAGTTTGTGGTGAGTCGTGAAAGGATGGTTCGCAACTGCTTGGCAGGCACTTTGAACAAGGAGGAGCTGCAGTATGTCTTCGGCGACATTCCAGGCCTTCCGTCTAAAGCTCGAGTAGGGCTGTCGACGCTGGCTATGGGAGACTGCAGCGCGTGCGAGTATGCCCAGTGCTCTCACCTCGGTGTCCTCAGAGCAGCCAATGTCTTCTCTGTGGAAGAATTAATCTCTCTTGCTACCCCAGTGCCGCGAACCCCTTGCATGGTAGGAGTCATCATCGACGACTTGATTGTCTTGGAGGAGGTCCTGGCTACAGCTGGCAAGGCAGGGGATGGCTCAGGCGGGACCCATGCCAGCTTGACATTTGCTACTCGTGGCTTGTTGAAGAGCCTATGTGGATCTTGGACCTCGGTTCTTCTGGTCAGGCGCAGAATGCTCTCTGTGGTAGACCTACTCTTCGCAGCTGCGGACGGTGACGATCCCAATGTCGTCGTTAAGCTTTCGCCTTCTTTGATTGATGAGTTGTGGGTTCTTGTGTCTTTAGGTGCACTTTGTGTAGTTGACCTTCGCGCTGAGCCCGCAGACTTCATTGTGGCTACAGATGCGTCAGGATGGGGAGGTGCAGCTGTCAGAGCATATGTTCCGCCGCATCTCGTTCTTGAATTCTGCCGGCACAGCTTGGCAAAGGGAACGTGGACCCATCTGCTTCCTGCAGGCCATGCTTGGCTTCGTGAGAAAGACCTGCTGAAGGTTGAGGATGAGCTGCCAAGCGGCGTGCCGCTGGAGCCGAATGAGCTTGCCTCGACCTTAGCCACATGCCTTCAGTATCAGGAGAGATGGCGGAAGGGTTTTCGGCCGAACGAGCACATCAACTGCAAGGAGTTGCGAGCGTATCTTTTGGAGGAGTCGTACATAGCAAAGGCGCGGTCATCTGTTCGGCTGCTGAGTGGCCTGGACTCTCAGGTCGGGCTTGGCGCCTTGACCAAGGGCCGTGCCTCGTCGAAGGCCTTGAACAACATGCTGTCAGCCTCGCTGGGTCCTTACGTGTCATGCGGGATATATCCCCACTTCATGTACTTCCTCAGCGAGTTGAACCCCGGAGATGCCCCTACACGGGGTAAAGACCCTCCCCGCCCTTTGAGGCCATTGCCGGCCTGGTGGGCGCCTCTGGTTGCTGGAGCCCAAGCCCCTTTCGACGCTTGGATGCGGAGACAGCCTGGTGGCCCGGCTGCATTCGACTTTGGGCACCTAGCGTCGACGTCTGAGAGTGAGACGGCCCTCGTCGCTGATGGGCTGGAAAGCATGGGTGCCGTCGCGGAGTGCGAGCTCCCACTGGCTCCGGGGCGAGAGGACAACTCCATTCCATGTGAGGATTCGGCCTTCGGCCTTCGAGCGAAGCAGTTCATGTTCAAGGGCAAGCGGGCAAACTTCGAAGAGCGAGGGGCCCTTGACTTGTACGCAGGTTCAAAAGGGATTGCAAAGGCTCTCATTGAACTTGGGGCGCCGTGGGTCGCCACCTTCGAGCTCAACGATGGGCCAGAGCAGGATCTGCTGGACCCGACAGTGAGGGCTACAGTTGAGGCCATGATCGCAGGGAAGAAGGTGCGAGCAGTTGGACTGGCCCCCCCATGCAACTCTATGTCCACGGCTATCTCACCGCCGGTTAGGACCCTGCAATTCCCTCGCGGGGTACCTTGGCTCAGCGGTTCCATGCGGAAGAAGGTTAAGGACGCAAACTCGCATGCAGCCTGGTGCGTTGAGCTCATCAAGCTATGTCAGGAGCATGGTGTGGAATGGTGGCTCGAACAACCCGACAGTTCATGGATGTGGAGGTTCACGGGGTTCAAGAGTTATCGGCACCCCGCGGCTCCAACGCTGTGGCGCACTGATTTGTGCGTGTTCGGAACGCCCTGGCGAAAAAGAACGCGTTTGGCTACCAGCCTGAGAGACTTGGCTGGACGCAGGGATTTTTGCCGATGCAGGTTGCCGCACGTCGTCCTCCGAGGCCGAAGTACAGAGTTCAGAAAGTCGTGGACAGCTGTTGCTCAACCTTATCCAAAGGGCTTCGCGGCAAGTATTGGGCGAGCCGCCTGCCGCCAAGTCGGCTGGATGCCGGCCAGCGGGAAGTTCAACATTGCTGCGTGCGCGCGGTGCGGGCACAATCGCATCGGCGAGGCCTCTCTCCCAGGACCGCGCAAGAGGATTGGACCTAGATTGGGCAGTTTGGAGGCACATCCTTTGCAGACAGCTGTGACTCTGAAGTATGAGGAGAAGCTCTGGGAAGCCTTTCTGAACTGGTGCTTGTCTTACTTGTCTGACCCTTGTCTTGTCTTTTCCCTTTGTCCGGTCCTTGCCGCCATGGCCCTCCGTGCGTATGGGAACCTCTGCTACAGTTCTGGGCGCACTCTTTCGAGTTTCAGGCACTCCATCATAGCAGCTCAGAGACGCCTTCTGGGAGTAAAACCTTACCTGTCACTGGTGTGGGAGCTGGTGGGAAGATGGGAGGCCTTGGAACCGCCGGTTCACCGGTGCCCTGTGCCGGAGCCCATCGTGAAGGGGCTCTGCTATCTAGCGTGGATGTGGCAGCTGCGACGTTGGAGTGGAGTCACACTGCTGGCCTTTTACGGCCTTGCACGCATAGGCGAGGTGCTGAAGTGCAGGCGTCGAGATCTCCTTCTGCCTGCTGACCTGCTTGAAGATGGCTTGGACTGTGCTTTCCTTAACTTTTCTGCTTCCAAGACCTCAATGCGAGGGCGTCCCAAGGTCCAACACACAAAGATCGTGGTGCCGGCCATTGTTGCTTGGGTCTCGCAGGTTTTCTACGCATTGGGTCCCGACGACTTGCTTTGGCCTGGGTCACCTAGCAGTTATCGTTACCGATGGGACTTTTTGTTACGCTGCTTGGAGGTACAAAAAGATTTGGGATTGACTCCGGGGGGCCTTCGAGGAGGCGGAGCGGTCCAACGTTATAGAGCGGGCGCGTCCCCAGTGGACATCCAATGGGCCATGCGTTTAAAGCATTTAGGGACGCTAGAACATCATCTCCAAGAACTCGCTGCAGTCACTGCTTTGACTGACGTGCCGCCCTCTGGGAGAAACCGTATTCGTACAGCTGCTCAACTCTTTGACCTCAAAGCTGGTTCCCTGATATCCAGCTGAGTTTGGCTTTGCTTTTGGCTTCAGGACTTTCGGAACGTCAGCCTCTGGCTGACCGCGGTTGCTCGACAGCTGCCCCAACTGCACCTGACCAGGCCTTCTGAAAGAGTGGATGCGGAGCTCTCCTTTGCGGCATCACTCCGCTACCAAAGGGTGGCTTGTGCCGAGATTTGCTCCAGACACTACTTGATCATGGCGGCCGGCGAAAAAGCAAGGCCTTGAAGGAGGGAAAGCAATTAACATGTCTGTTCATGTTCATTGCCAACGACTGCAAGAATTTTGGCCCTCCCCCCCGTCCCTTGTGCTCATGCACTGCTGGGGATGCGGAGCTCTCCTTTGCGGCATCACTCCGCTACCAAAGGGTGGCTTGTGCCGAGATTTGCTCCAGACACTACTTGATCATGGCGGCCGGCGAAAAAGCAAGGCCTTGAAGGAGGGAAAGCAATTAACATGGCTATTTTCGATTTTTATATGTAGTAGCAGCACGACTAACTAGCCAACTTAACTTTCTAACTCACTGACTACTAACTAACTCGTACTTCTCAGCCGCCTGTTGCAGCAGGTTGGCGCAGCATCTTCCTTGTGCCAATCGGCCTTTCGCCGATTTCGCTCAGCCACGCCCTGAACAGAAAATGCTCTTTGAGGGGGTTCGGGTTTGAGTTTGCAGGGCATGCAGCGTTAGGGTTCCAGACACACGTGCTGATTGCAATGGCAGCAGACGACGTTTGACAAAGCACTGACGGTCAGGTCGCTCAAACGGGCATGGCAGCGATTGCGGCCGGCAGTCAGCAGGCGGAAACTCGTTTGCCTAACCGCAAGGGTTTGCGAAGCAGTCTGCAAGGACGTCGGCTCGCTGCTGCAGGGCTCCGCTTTGGAAGAGTCGTTCAGCCGGGGTCTCTCAGGATGTTGCCTGGATTAGAACCAATAGCAATTACTAGAGAGTAGATCCCTTCTTAGGTCTGGGCGCCGACTTGACAGCCTCCTTCTTCGGGTCGACTGGAAGCTGGCTTCCTGCCGCGCGTCGGCGGCTCGACACTTGCAGCAGTAGCTCGGTAGTGGGCGTAGCGTGGCCGTTCTCGCCTGAAGCTCGTCCTCATCCTCGTTATATGGTGCTGTAGCCGCACCGTAGTCGTCGTAGCCTGTCGCATCCTGGCGCCATAGTTTTTTCCGCCACAGTGCTGCAGTGCTGCAGTGCTGCAGCTAGCCCGTGGTGCATATTTCATGTGATGTGCTTGACATCAGTTTCGCATGCAAGCCATTTTAGTGCCTTTTTTTGCATGCGACTGGCAGGGTGTCGAGCTATTGTGCAACCCCTAACTACAGGTGCCAAAACTGAAGCTCGAGTCACCAAAAGCTGCAACGTCCTGTACCGGTTCTTTCAACCAAAGGCCTGGCCTCTCGGAGCCGCACCTCGCAGAGCACAGGCGGCCGGATACTGTGATGCTTGTGGGTAGTCGCAGGCTGTCGTGCGATTTTTACGGGGATGTGCTACTTAGACTTGGGGCAGAAAGGAGTGCCCTAGTCCTAGGCAGTGTCGACCTACTTAAGAAGTACGCATTGCAACTCTCAGCTGTATGTTGCGCTGATTGTACTGCTTGCCATTCTCCTATAGATGCTTCCGGCTTCCATCTCCGACAGCCAGCATACTTCTGCCTACCAGTATCCACAATCCTGACTCTCCGTCTTCATTGTCTGAGCACCGTGCACCCCGCAGGATAGATTCAGCATGTTCAGTGTTGGCTGGGAAGAGTGAGCTGGGCAGAGCATGGGCACATTCCCAGTCCAATCGGAGTTCCACATGGTTGCATGACGAAAAAAAAAAGCAACGACAGGCCTGATCGATCAGGCTGAGGCTCGTGGAACGCAAGCTTCGCTGTTGCTTTGCACAGTTGAAGCGCGGAAGCTAAGAAAGTGTTTGTTTGGTTCCGGCATGGTGGTGACACATTGTGAGGACCTGATGGCATCAGCTGTGGTAGCATGGAGCGAGGAGGCTCGTGCAGCGCCGCGAATCACGTCAAGCTGCCAGTTCTGCGATGATGTTGGGGAGATGGGACTTTGATAGCGTGATCTTGAAGGGACTATGAATGAGGCTCTGTGCGCATTCTTTGAAGCTCCGTGTCAACATAAGAGATATAAGAGATGCGAGAGCCGGTCTGAGCTGCCAGGCGCTTGTAAGAACACGTCGAGGTCGAATGGCCGCTGGACCAAGTCCCTGAAACACCACAGCGCGCCACACCACATATCTGATATCCAAGATGCAATGTACTGAGGTCGGTCAGGGAGATGATTATGCGGTGAAACACCCACCGAGGCAGATATGCTCAGATAGCGGAAGCAAGACTGTTCTCTTGCTTTATGTCATGCGGTGCTGCTTGAGTGGTTGAACGTGCAGGTTACTTCCGGTCTTCTCAGGGCACGACCGCTCTTCCCATGTACGCGGCCTCATCTGTTTTAGGATGTTTTAGGTTTGCTCTGTTTTTGGGATTTGCTTGGAAAACCTAGGCCGAGCGGCAGGCACTGCTCCAGATCCTACGAGGACTGCGCGGAAGACACTAGACGCTTCATGACTCAGGCCGCTATTCATGTTCAAGTGTGGCACAGGCATCTCTCCACTCTCTCCACGAGCAGCAGCGCGGAGAGAAGAAGGGAACGTTCGCGTAGCTGTTGCAAATTGCTGTGGGAAGCCTGCTGTTTCCGTCAATACCGGCAATTCATACTGTACTCCTCTCGGCAGCCTCGGCATGGCTGGATTGTAGGACATAGCAAGACGGCAGATGATGGCAAACTTGCAACGCAAAGCTTCGCATACCAAGAAACTGCCAATCCTTCTGGGCTCGCAGCTTTTGACATCCCGGGACTAGACATAGAGCCTACGGTCTGCGCGGTGCAGGCGCGTGGAATGTCGAAAAACATATTGGGCAGAGGCAAGGGAGATCGGAAAAGAGAAGAGGGCAATTTTCAATCACTGCAAAAAGCAGCCACGCAAAGGATTACGCAGGTTCAAGAAGGGAGCCTGAGCATCGTGGGCAAGAGATATCTTGATGCTGTGAAGGTGCCAGAGAGTTGCAATGGCAGCTCCAGGCAGGCCGTGGAGTTGTATAGAGAATCGGCCGGCATATTCACCTGATGGCGTCTGCTTGTATGGATGCAGAGATGCAGTGTGAGCTACGGTTTGCGTGCTTCAGTACTCCTTCCTGTATCTACCCCATGAGCCTTCAAGTTTAACCTGACAGCGTACTGGCAAGGCCCGTCAGCTGGGTCAGCGAGGCCCTTCCGACTTCCACCAAGTGAGAATTTTCCTGAGCTTGCGTGAGCTTCTGAGAGCCCATGCGCCCGCGCAGACCCCGAGCGCAAGTGGTTTCCACCACGGCGCCATGCACGCGGCTCAGCCCGACGTGACATTTGTGGAGTCTGTAGAGCACAATCCCGGCCCCATGTTGGGTTTTCTCACACTTGGATGAGGAACATTCTAACATCGTGGTATATGATGGTGTACGTAGATATATATACATATATATTGCCAGTATCACGTGGGTTCCCGCAGAAGCCGACCAGGTACGGCAGGCTATGGGCGAACCCTTCGCTTGGCACTCAGAGCTGAGTTGCGCAGTGTGAGTTGTTCGTTGAGGCTTTGAAGCTTCAGCCAGTTTTGGGCACTTCGGTTGCGGAGTGTGCAATACGCCAAAAGGGAGTAGCATGGCCAATATCATCACAAGTCATCGGCGGACCTATGGTGCTCCATGCGGGGAAGTACAGACTTGAATGATCAGAACATGCCATTACATATCTAAATACGTGTGTAGAAGCCATGGTAGTAGTATGAGAAAAGGAATGAACTGCGAGCGGTGACTTTGGCTTCAAGTGAGGCCTTGCGCCCGCTGGCCCAGCCCGGCCTGCCGCCGCGGGCCGAGAGGGGGGGAGAGGCCTCCGATATTTGGGGGGGGGGTTTCCGAAAATGTTGGCGGTCCTATTTTGGGTCTTTCAGGATGTGTCACTTTAATTCCCCATATACTTGTGGTTACGTTTACACATCTTCTACGGCCTGCTTCAATGGAAAGCGCCGCAATGCACATTTGTAGACGATCCTCATGCGTGAGGATGCGGGGGGGATGAGGGATGTCAGCGAGTCGGAGAATCAGGTGCATTCAAAACGGGGCGCACTTTGGTTGTCTGCCTGACTTTCAAAGGTTCAGATATTACGTTCATATATGTTCATATACGTTCATGCCCCTGGAGCTGGTGGCCTTTGTGGGCTTCACAGTGCTCAGCGACCAAGGTCAGTGCAGTTCCTCGCATGGAGGCAGGATTCCGGCCCTGCACCACCGTGTTGATGGCACAGCTGGTGCATCACAAGCACTTTTGCAGAAGAGCCTTGAACGCCAGGCTCCAGTGATGGCTGCTCCCCCGGTGCAGAGGAGGAGGCAGGCGGTGCAATGAGCTTGAGACTACTTCTGAGAAGAAGTAATACACGCTTGCATACCCTGCATGTTGGGCGAGTCGAGCTCGATATCTTCCCCACACTTTCCGTACGCGTCGCGCTTGCCCCTGTAGTTTTTCTGTCCCCGTTCCTTTCTTCCTTTCTTCCTTGCCCTCGTTCGCAGCATCTCGGCTCCGATGCCTTGGACGTGTCTGCGCAGTCCACCCGTAGAGGGCGGGCTGTCCTCTCCAAGAGCACCTGAGCAGAGAAAAGTTTTTCGGGGGCGTCTTTGGGGGCCTTCCTTCGGGGCCTTGGGATGAGTGGTTCTGACAAGCTTATATCTACTTGTCTGCTTTGCTAAGGAGGCAGCCGGCCTTTGCGCTTCATATTCTCCATATCCGAGGAACGTTCTGCGAGAAGGTGGGGGGGGGGGGGAGGAGCTTTAAACATGAGATTCTGGAGACAATCATGCAGCTGGATATTGCCCAGGCGCTGGATTGTTGAGATCCGATGCGTAACTCGTCCGCACCAGTTCGTCCTTAGCTTCAAGCCGCAATTTGCTGAAAAGGAGACTGGTTGTTTTTTTTCCTGCTAAAAGAACTGACTCACTACACATGCAGCCACTTGGGTTCGGATCAGATCAACTTGCCCCCATCTGAAATCAAGACCAACCATCCATTATTGGACTTGCCATCGATTCAAGGGCCCCATCCTGTTCTTGCGCAATGGTACAGTTGATGAGGCGCCATGCTGGCGAACCACGCCGTCGGTCAGCAATGCTTTGTCCAGCGTTGGCAGTGGCCTTTTTCTTCGCCTTCATGGGTTCTCCAACAAGCTTCATTGCCCCAGCAAAAGGCGAAAAGGCAAAGACCCGCCCTTTGCTACCAGATGCAGGGCTTGCAATGGCAACTGCCGGGGCTACATTTCAGGCAGGTCTAAGTCCAGCACTAGCTCAGCAAGAGGCCTTTGTTTTTTTCGGCAAGAGCTCTGCAGACCTGTTCCCACTGTCAAATCTGAGCATATTGACGTGGCTGCTGTTGATCTTCGCCCCGGGCTGGGAGTACACAAAGTCAGCTGCGCTGATTGCTCCTGTGGTCAATGCCGTGCTGTATGTCACCGTTCTGACCTTCTTGATCACCCATCCACCGCCAGATGCGCCAGCTGTGGATTTTGGTAGCCTGAGCTCCATTGTCACTGCGTTCCAGAATCCCGATGGTGTCTTCGCGGGCTGGCTGCACTACTGTGTCTTTGATCCGCTGGTGGGACTCGGTGAAGTGGTCGACAGCCAACAAAACAAAGTCCCACACTTTCTGGTGGTGCCGTGTCTCATTCTGACTTTGCTGTTTGGGCCGATGGGGTTTCTACTTTACTTGGCCATCAGAACACTGACCATTGCTTCACGTGCCGAGAGTAAGGCATGAAAGATAAACGGTGCTGACTCACCATGAGCCCCAAAAAATGATGTGGCTCCGCAACATCTCTTTGCCACGCTCCCGTTCCTGTCGTGTCCCGTATGGCGCTGCAAAAAAGTGAAGACCTGGGGCTGTGATGGGGGGTGTGAGTTTGCTGGTCGCAAAAGCACGTAGTGAGTCACATGTGGAGGTTTCTGGTGTCTGATCAACTGCTGCTGTGAGAGTCTACACGTGGGACACGCGCTGTCGAGACAAATGTGCTGAGGTTTGAATGGCCTGCTTGTCATCGTCGTGTTTGCCACCAGTTTCGCCCCGCTCCGTGCACCTAGCAGAACCTTGCTGCATTGCATCTAGTCCTGCTATATATCACAGCTTCCTGCCAGGTTGCCATGACACTTCTGGGAAACGAGGTCTGCAGAGTGCACAGCTTCACAAGATATCGCAAGATAACACAGGAACTTGAGCGTCATGAGTCATGAGTCATGAGTAGCACATGCTTCACCGTGTTCTTGAGAAGCTCTAGTTACTGTCGCCCTCTTCAGCGCTTGCAGGTGCCGAAGCGCAGCACCACCTGTCAACAGAGGCAGCGCCGCACTGTAGCCTGCACATAATCCGAGCCAGCATAGCACCTGCAGCTCAAGCTTTGTGTTGTCGGAAGACTTCAGAATCAGAGCCTCATCTGCTGAATAATCTTGACCTGCCACCTCTGTGGCTGACAGCAATTCGTTCTTGTGATGTGGTGTGCGGTTGTTCTGCTGTTGAGGTGAAGGTTTCCCTCTCAGCGTCTGGGGCTGTGACCAGAGACAGAGAGGAGCTCTCCAAGCTTCAGTGAAGGAATGACCTAAGGAATCTAAGGAACGACGGAAGGAACGAGGAGAGTGTCCGAGAGTGTCCGAGAGCTTGGCAAAAGCCTCTCAAGTTGTCAAGCGGTCTTCAGGAGTCGAGCGGAGCCCGGAGCTTGATGCGACGAGCCTTGACCTACGATGACAGCCAGGAGCCGAGGGCTTCTGGGTTTTCGGATTTCGGGGGTTCGTCACCCTCTAAGCCGCTCTAGGCCCTACGCCTCTAGCTTTCACTTGCACTTGCAGCAAGAAGCTGCAAGCGCCGGAGCCGGCCACCGCACAATTTTGCTGCACGGATCCGTTACCGGGGATGTAAAAGTCGCTGTGGCAGCCAGGACGAGGACAGCGGAGCTGACGAAGCTGATCCCGAGTCCGGCACAGAGTCCGAGGACTTTCCGAGGGTCTTTCAAGCCGGTGCTAGTCTGTTCTACTTGAAGGTGAACCCTAAATCCGAAACTCCGAAACCTTAAACCCCACAAAGGCCACCCAGGGAGAAGGCCTAACCGAGCGCTTCGATCCGACCTTCAGGATGCAGATACCGAGAGCGACGCCAAGGCGATGGTCGGCAAGATTGTGTTGAGGGTTGAGGGTTGAGGGTTTTGCAAATAGGGCTTCTGCCAGCTTAGCTGCCGTGATATCTTCTCCGTAGCTAACGTCATTACACATATGACCCTACGGATGCTGACCCATGAACCTTCTTACCCAGAAACCGTCAAAGAGAAGTGAGCCGCTCGGTAGGACTTACAGATCCCGCCTTTTCATCCGGAGCACGATGCCACCTGAACATTTCAATAATTAAGCTTGGGGGGGGCTTGTCGTCATTCATCTGCTCAGTACAACCAACTTCGGGCTTCGGTTGCCAGTCGCAGTCATACTTAGAGCGTTGAAAGTATGTAAAGCGTTACTGAAAGTAACCACCAGGGGCAGTCTTGGGGACCGGCCGGCCAGGGGTTTCTCATGCAGGCACCTCTTCTCCATTTCCCTCTTGCGCAGGTGCCCGCCGCTTGCGATAGTGGCGGCGAAACAACGTATCGCAGTGCCCTGGCTGCAAGTGCATGGCAAAGATACCTGCATTGGGCCGCAGACTGTCATTGTCAAATGCTGTCAGTGAAGGGAGGCGGGCGAAGTGCAAACTCACCGAAGCTTGCGCTTGCGCCAAAAAAAGCCTGCAATGTCTCGCACCTATCATTCTTGAGGCCCTCGCACCTTCGAGGTCGAAGCTCCAACTCAGGCAAGTTTTTTTGCTGCGATCCAACCCCCTCCAACAGTCACAGCATGCTGGCAGCTGGCAGGTTCCTTTCACACTGTCGCTGCGCATGCGGTGGACTGGGGACAGTCCGCCTGATCTGCAGCCGAACCCCGTCGCCAGCCGGCAGGTCGTAGGTGTTGTCCAATTGTGCAACCTTAGCTTCTCACTCCTCTCCATCGCCTGTGCTTTCCTGTCCTTTTTGATGGGAAACACGTGGAAGGTGCAGCCGAGTGTAAACCTGCAGTGTTTTTGCGTAGCTAAGGCCTGCATCATCTGCTGGACGATCGATCCGGAGTCTGGGATATGGCAACAACGCAATCAGCACTGCTGCATGGTTCTGCGATTTAGGTCGATCCCCGATGTGGTTGCACGAACTCTAGTTCATCTAGCTGTTCACGGCCCGCACCGCCCACCCTTCTCCGGCCTAGGCCGCCTAGGCAGTGCTTGTACCAATTGCTAGGGTTCGGTTAGTCGACCGCACACAGTCTGGAAGCGAGGACACATCACCGAGTAACAACAAAGAGCAGCACCTTGGCATAAAGTTCGGGTTAATTGCGCACACCTGTTCCAGAAGCGTGCTCTTCGACTGGACACAGGAAAACACAGAGGGCTCAGGGTGCCAGCACTGCGCACTTTCATTGTCCCGTTCCCGTCGGGTGCGAGGTCATAGTCAGGTGTGGTAGTTGCCGAAGCTTGGTGATGCACATTCAGGTTCTATCAAGGCCTGGATGGCCAGCCACCGCGCATTGCTGCTTGGTGGACAGACATAGCCTTTAGCTTCGCAGTACTGCTGTCCGCTGTCTACACAGTAAGCTTCGAGAAACCGGTTTCATTGCAGCAGCACTCAGCTTTGATAGCTTTGATGGAATCAGTTTGCTGCCCATAAGCCTTGCCGCTCCGAGGCATTGATGCGCATGGGGAATGTTATCACCTATGACGCCTGTCCTATCAAGCCTTTCTGGCATCATGGATATGAGGGTGGGAGTGAGCACGCAACATGACGAGGGACTTGCGACAAGTGCCACCGTTGAAAGTGAATGAGAATGGCGATAGAACGTCAAAAGCACCTCCGCCTCAGGAAGAATACGGTGCTGATGGAGGTTCCGGCACTGTGAACCTTTTCACTTCCGTGCCTCGGCAGTCCTAACCATGACGTTTGCGTGGAGAAAGCCCATTTTCTTAATTGACTTGGTGGAGGTTTCGGAACCCCACCCAAACTGTCACAGACCTGCCGAAACCCTCTAAAGACCCTTCCCAACCCTGAAACCCTCCCAAAACCTTCCAATACCCAGGAGGTCTCACAGCAAGTTAAGAAATCCACGGTTTTGGGGCCAAGGGCCACACCAAGATGCAAGCTGAGGAAATTCAGGGCGCGCTTTCTTAATTATCGGTAGCAACGAGTCCCTCATGCTTGGCAGGGGCTGGCCTCAGCCCCGAAACCCTAGATGTCGTGTCTTAGCAAGAGATCCCAGGAATTCAAAATTCAAGCCTAAGCTGAGGACACGAGGCTACCCTGGATATTGTTGTAGTGCAGTACTGCACCTTTTTTTTTTGCAGCGACTGTTGGGGTATCAGCTCTCGGGCCGAGCCGCTCAGTTTCTGAAGCCAAGTGTGTTCTTGAGCCGTGCTGACATGCATTGGAGCGGATGGCTCGCTCTCCACAAGTCTAGTTCGGCCCCTGCAGTCTCTGATAGTGCTTTGGTCTGTTGATCCTTCAGGCTGATTTAGGTGGTCGCTTCCCTGAAATACGGTCCCTTTGCCGAGTTTTTGAGAACTGACCAAGTATTCCTGAGAAAAGGACACCCAGCTCAATGATGGAGAGTACCACGAGGCCTGGTGAATACTGTTCAAACGGATGCGGCTGCTGCTGCAGCTCCTGCATGGATTTGAAACTGAGTGATAAATTGCACTTTCCAATCTGACTACCAGACACAAAAATTGAGTTGCCAAGACAGCTGCTCTGGCGCTTTCTTCGCGGTCGTGGCAAGCATTGCGAGATACTCACCCCATGCCGTTAGGTCGTCCTTGTTCGTGGGGAGTCGCGGATCACTCTGTGGCACCTTGTCTGCAAGTCTTCAGCCTCGCGTTCTCAGCTTAGGACAACAGGGTGTGCATCGAGTGCTTACGTAGCAAGACTGTTGCAAGGCTTTGCTCATGGAAGTTGAATCAAGGATTGATGGGAAGCCTGATTCCTTCATCAGCAAACAAGCACAACGTTCCGGACTCAGCCAGCCTTTGACCAGGCTTTATCAGATAGTCTTCTTGCAGCATCAATGTTTTGCCACGCTCTGATAGCCGTGACGTTCCAAGGCAACAACTTCCAAAACGTCGACCTTCCAGTGGGTACCTGGGCAGCCTCATGCGGATGCCAAAGGCTTTTCCTGTTGGCCTGTAGGCTGCTTGCTGTATTACTGCATCTCTCGGAAGACGCTGCTTCGCTTGGGTCCGTACGGCACAATCCTTCATAGACCCCGCGTGCAAGGCAAGCCAAATGCCATCTCTGGAAAGGCTTCTACGTCCAACGAATACTTGCGAAGGCGACTGTCTCGGCAAGCCGCACAGATTCGAGTGTTCTTAGGGCTACATGTCACCTGATCGAGAAGCAACTTGGAGGAAAAATACCAAGCCCTGTAGATTGCTCTAGAATCTGCAAGCTTCAGAAGGTAAGTCGCGTGAGCATCTGTGTATCCGACGTCCCCCGTTTCCACTTGCAAGTCCATGCGATGCTTCACATGCAGATTCATGATTGCGTAGTTCGGAGCTGGTGGTATACTGTTGAGGCAGGTGAAGAACACAGTGTCCTACAACAAGGCACGGTGGCCAGCCAAGCGTGCGACTTTTCTTCGATAGAGCTCTGGCACTTACAGGCAGACCCGAACAATGGCAAATGGGCCTTGAAGGGGGAGGCCGGGTCAGTTGCACATTTTTCAGCTTGGGATGTGTCACAAGTGTCCAAAGCACGATGCAGACTATGCACTATTTCACGCTTGTGGAAGGTCACGAACGTAAGGCTCTACTACACTGCCGCGGCCTCGTGCCGAAAGCTTGAAGTAAAAACATATGCAGGTTTCTAGCACCATCTTTTCTTCTTCAATGACGACATGCTATATGAATCGCAGAAATCAACAGCATTATTAAAGGATATTAAAGGAGTTGCTGCTGCATCACAGGACCTGAGTGCTAATGACTTCCCCGACAGCAAGACTGCTTGCGAGGCATCGAGGGAGGATTGATAGATTGGGTTACGCTTGGGTTGCTACTGCAGAAGAGCCAGCTTCGTTGCCATAATGAGCACACCATAGCAGTTTCAGAAATTAACTATAGTATTTATACTGTGTGTTCATATGGTGTTAATTGAAAACTTGTAGAATCTGGTGAGAACTCGATGGGTTGAGCTTTCGCTGCTTTGAAGTGCGTCAGTTTGATTTCCAGTCGCTGCCCGCAGACGTGTCAGGCGACTACCACGCAAGCCAGACCCTCAATGAAGGAGGTTTGCAGTTAGCGCTTGCAAGACCGGGAGTAACCTGCATGCACGAGGAGCTTCCGAGTCCAAACCCTAAACCCTAAACCCTCAAAGCCCTGCAGCAGTTTGGCTCACAGTGGGTTTTCGCCAGGCCTTGGCTGGGCCCAGGCGCGAGCAAAAGCGTCAAGTCGCGTGGAGTCCTCCCTAAGCCGGAAACCCCCAAACCTGCAAACCCTAAACCCGAAACCCTAAACCTTAAACCCTAAACCTTAAACCCGAAACCTTAAACAAGAAACCCTAAACCTTAAACCCTATAAACCTTAAACCCTAAAGCCAACAAAGATAAATCGAAGGTGGCCCTTTGGCCTCCATGCAGCGTTCCGAGTCCGCTCCGGGAGGTGGGGTTTCAGAGGGCGGCTTAGGCGGCTTGGGGTTTGGGGTTTAGGGTTTAGGGTTTAGGGTTTAGGGTTTAGGGTTTAGGGTTTAGGGTTTAGGGTTTAGGGTTTAGGGTTTAGGGTTTAGGGTTTAGGGTTTAGGGTCTACGGTTTAGGGTGCGGAGCTGCAATTGGTATTGTAGAAAGGAGTTCGTGTTGGGGTTGGATGGGTCAATGAACCCGGAAATCATATTTGGCTCAAGATGGCCGAGAGCCGTCAGCTTTTGTTGAAAAAGTACGTACGCTTGGGGTTGGGTTTAACGGGTTGGAGTAGTCCCGTCCCTTCTCCCTTATCTTGTCCCCTTAGGGTTGGGTGTTCTTGTTTCTGGTTCGATCTGGGAAATCTATATAGGCGACTGTTGAGGGTTGGTTTCTTTCCCTGTTCCCTTTCGGTTGCCCCCGTAGGTTATGAGCCCAAATTAGGTTCCCTGCGGTTTGTGTTTCGGCTTTAGGGTGGAAGTTTGAAGCCATGGCGACCAACTGGTTACGGACTGGTGCGGCATCATCGAGCTCCAATGTGGGCGACCAAGGTGAAGGTGGTGTCAAAAGGTCTGCAACGGGTGAAAAAGTTGTTCCCAATGTGGAAGCTCTGGTTGATGTTGGTGGTATGCGTGGCGAAGAGAAGCCGGTGGTGGAAGGACTGGAAGACCAGATGGAAGCAGTTTTGCTGCGCCTTCTGAGCAAACATGGGCATCTTCTTCGAGCTGCGGAATCTGCTGAATCAACGGGAGCGCCAACAACAAGCTCCTCTACGTCAAAGATGGTGGAGCAAGGGTGCCAGACAGAACTGGTTGGGGATGTTATCCCTGTTTCCAAGCGAGCTCGCAACAAAGTGAGTTTCGCGGCTGAAAGTGGTGATCTGTTGACAGGTGAAGCGGAAGAAACTGCGCCTGTTGCTGCGACAAAAAGCAGTATCCTCGTCGTTGGGGACGCAGAAGGAGTCGTTCCTGTTGCTATGGTGATGAGTGAAGGAGAAATCCTGGAATTGGAGGCAGCAAGAATACAGCAAGAGTCAGATGAAGACTTATACGCTGATGGTGGAGGCAAAGTGTCTCAAGCTGCTGACCTTCCAATCATCGACTGCGATGGGAAGACATGGGAACGCCATTTTCATGATGATGGGAGAGAATATCTTTACTGTTTAGACACTGGAGATACCCAATGGGTGGTGCCGAAGAAGACTGGAATGGCTGGAAACAGCGAGGGGCCAGGTGTTGGAATGGGCATTGTCCCTATGGATGACGAGCCAGCGCTGGGTGCTACATCGTCCTCGTCACCTACTGAGTCTTCTAGGGCACAACAGGGTAGCATGGAAAGTGTCAACAGTGGTGTAAATAGTGTAGGTGAAAAAGATTTTTCCTCTACTATCAGGGATAGCGGTCCTAGGGCTGGTGGTGACGCCCCGACCTCGGGTTCTCCTGATGAAGAGGGGATTCCTGGAAACCGAGCAGACATCGCTGGAGCTCAACATCTGGATCGGGAAGAAATGGAAGCGCTTTCTGAGGGTGTGGCAGCGGTGGAATCGGTGGGTCCAGAAGGAAAAATGCCCAATGTGGAGATCGGAATTGTGTCGGCTGCAGAAGAGCGAGTGGTGGATGTGGTGCCTGTCGTTCAGGAAGATGGCCCTGGAGATTTGGATGACGAAGGGAAAAAGTTGTGCATTACGACTGAGGAGGTCTCTTCGTTTGGTGCCGAGAATTCTGCCATTCAAAGGGAAAAGGAAACTTCTGAAACTGCTGGAGACACGGTTGATCGGAAAGATGAGGCCTGGAGCGCCAATGAAGCGCGGGTCAACGCGCCAGATAGTACCTGGAGTGCAGGAAAAGCACGGGTTGAGGCGCATATGGTGTCACGTTCCACGGGCGACTGCAACAATGGGGCGCAGGTCTCCGCAGCAGCTGATGACGGAGGTTCACAGGTGGACGCACTGGTGCAACTTGAAGTTAGCTGCGAGGAACGAAATGGCAAGGGCTACACCGGAGCCGATGAGGCAGCTGTGGTCAATGATGGTGGCAATTCTCCTTTGGAAACCATGGAACCAAAGGAGCCTGCGGTGGAAGAAAATGTACCTGCCGCGGATGAGCCCTGCAGTGGAAGAAAATTTGCCTGCTGCAGAAGGCATGACAAAAGACTCCAATGATGGGTCCACTCCCATGAAGGGAGAAGCGTTGCCGTCTGGAAGTTCACCGGAAGTCGACACCGAGCGAACTGTAACGGATGAGGCAAAGCCATTGGCTGGAAAAAAGGAAGATCCTGAAATCCAGGAGCACAAAAAAGATGAGCTTGTGGGACTCGTGGAGCAGGACGAGCAGTGTGACCCAAAGGTGAAGACAAAGGATGCGCCAGGAGCCGATGATACAGAGATGGTTTCTGAAGAGCATGCAAAGAAAGTGCCCCGAGCGGGAGCCTTGGAATCACCTGGGACACATTGCTATCAAGAGGGAGATGAGATCATGGGTCTAGTGCGCTGCATCAATGGGTATGGAGCCTTTTTGGACCATGGTGATGTGAATGTGTTGATTCCTGCAGAAGGGAATAATGCATATCAGTTCAAATTTGGTGATACTGTCAATGGAACAGTGAAGCGAGTGGAAGATGATGGTACCATAATCTTGGACACCTTTCTGGTTTTGGAAGAGGACGAGGAGGACTCTTCTTCGACGCTGCGTAAATGGAAACCCAGCGGCTGGAGTACGTGGTGGACAGATTCATGGTATGCTGGTCAATGGTACCAAGATTCCAACAGTCAATGGGACTGGAGACGGGAGGAAGAGCAATCCGATGAAAAGGTTGCTGATCAAGAGTTATCCTCAGAAGAAAAAGAGGAAAGGCAACTTTATGGAGAAAAGATCTATAAAGCTCTTCTTGAGGATGGAAACGAAGATAAGGCCTATGTGGGCAAAATCACTGGGATGCTGTTGGGTCGCCCAATGGAAGATCTACAGGAGTGTGTTGCAGATCAATCATTCCTGAATGCGGAAGCTCGGCGCGCGTATGGCATCTTGCAAAGTGATGGTTGGGAAGCCTGATGGTACGGAAAGCACAGGCTTGGGAAAGATATCCACTTTTCCCCGAAAACAGTACCACAACGCGCTCTTCGAACTGGCATGCAGAAAAAGGAGATTTACTCGACCAGTTGTGGGTGAAGCGGTGGCAATGGTGCTGAGTCAAGGGGAAGATGAGCTTTGGAACGCGCTTTGGTTGGACACCAAGCGATTTTTGCAGGAGCTTGATGGTGCAGTGCAATCCATGAGTAAAAGGGAGGGTAGGCCAATGGAAGCCTACATGGATCCTGACCAGTACAAAAAGGCTCACATGACTCCACAGACTGTGTCACCTGGATACAGCAAGCTGTGCAAGTTCTTCAATCGGGGAAGGTGTCGCAATGGTGATGGATGTCCCTATGAGCATCGTCGTTATGGTGAAGGGTGGCCTGAAGGAGAGCCAACTGAGCCAAAGAACAGCCAAAAAACTGGTGACGAGGATGGGGACATCGGTGGCCCTCCAACTGATGAAGGTACAGTGGATGAGGTGCAGCAGGAGCGGGAGGATTCGGCCTTCCGTGCCCAGTACAACTATGGCAAAGGGACATCAAAAGGTGAGCCTACGCTGGGTGAAATGAAGAAACGGCTGTGTCTGTATTACAATCAAAGTGGTTGTAAATATGGGACTGCGTGCAGGTATCTCCACGACGATGACATGGCATTGGAAGGGACTTGGGAGCCCGGCAAATCTTGGGACAATGCTTCCAGGAAGGCACTAAGGGACGCAGGGTTCCACCATTGCTGTTTCGATTATTACCTCAGAGGACGTTGCCGGAAAGGATCAAATTTCTGCAAGTACTCCCACGACGAGATGTCAGAGGACACTCCTGAAACACCTGGTACACGTGGCCAATCAGGTCCGGTTTGAAAAAGAGAGAGGATGGGAGATTTCGGACAGAAGCACTTTTCAGCCACCTGCAAGTGGGGGAGCTGAATCTTCCTCATCCTCGGCACCAAAAGCGCTGCAAATGACCAATGTGTCACAAAAAGATGGTGAAAAGGGTATTCTGGATGAAGAAGAAGCTGATGAGCAAAAGAATTCGGTGGCTGCATCCACTAGTACGCAGCTTCACAATCCAGAGGAGCCAATTGAAAATTGGATGGCTCGCAACGAACACCTGTGGGTGTATACCCCTCATGTAAGTGAGGTGATGATTACCCTCGGTGTGACCAATGTGTCGGACTTGCAAGAGTTCATCTTTGTGGAAGATTTGGTTGACAAAGGGATCAACAAGGTGACCGCATGCAAAATTCTGCAATTGGTGGGTGAGGTCCGATATCGACCGGGAGGA